GACAACTTCCATCTTTTCTCCATTGATAAGAATCTTGTTTGTTGGTCTAGTGGTGAGGATTTTTGTTTTCTTTACATTGAGATGCAATCCATACCGAAAGCTGTGCTCTTTGATCTTCATCAGTAAATATTTTAAGTCCTCTTCACTTTCAGCACGCAAGGTTGTATCATCTGCATATCGCAGGTTGTTAATGAGTCTTCCTCCAATCCTGATCCCATGTTTTATTTTGGATAGGATTAGTGAAATAAGAATAGACTAGGCTGAGGTGGCAGTGAGGAGGGTGGGTGGGAGAGAAGGACTAGACTATGGATGAGAGCGACTTAATGTCCGGCTTACCTATTTGTTTTGCAGGGAAAAGTAAAGACCAAGAAGTTGCAGAGCATGCTGGGAAGTCTGCGCCCGGCCCACCTAGGCCCCTGTGGTGATGGGCGCTATCAGTCAGCCTCTGGGCAGAAGGTGACCCTGGAGCTCAAGCCACTGAGTTCACTGCAGCCTGGTGTGAACAGTGGTGCTGTGGTCCTGGGAAAGGTGGTGTTTAGCCTTACCACAGAGGAGAAAGTCCCCTTGTGAGTGTCTGTTGCTTTTCCTCTTTAATACCCTTCTGAACTAACTGCTTTCACTTCCTGGCCTTTTGCTAACAGCCGAGGAGATTGTTAGTGAGCACAGATTAGTGGTTTCTTCCCTTCTGTTGCTGTTCTGTGGACACGTATTGTCTAATCGGTTGAACCAGTTGCTGTCAAGTTGATTCTGACTCATGTTGATCCCATGTGAGTCAGAGTAGAACTCTGCACTGTAGGACTTTTAATGGCTGAGTTTTAGCAGTAGATCACCAGGTCTTCCTTCTTTCTGGGTATACATGAACCATCACCTTTTGGTTGGCAGCTGAGCTCGTTAACTGTACTACTCAAGGACTCCAATACTGTCTAAGAGTCTAAGAGATGTCATATCAGATGCCTTGATTCAGAGACCTTTACTGATTCTTGCACGGCCCATTTTGTACCCAAGCCTGTACTTTGTGGATTCATACATCCAGAAGTGAATTATGACAAGCTACACATTTTTCTTTTCTTTTTTTTTTTTTAAGGCATATGGTTTTCTCAGAAATTATTTTCTGCCCCTTTGTATTTTCATGATCATGCAAGTTGAAGGAGGAAGAATTCTCAGTCTTACTTGGATTTGGGTATGTTTAGTAGTTCTGATAGGAGAGAGCTTTGAGTTAAGATATAAGGTCTAGCTTGTGTGATTGTCTTAGGTGTCATTCAACAAATATTTATTGGGCATCTACTATATGCCCCAGGTGTTGTAGGGAATTAAAAAAAAAAAAAAGAGACCAAAGGGTGAATTGTGCTTATAGTCTAGCATTAAAAATGAGTTAAGGATACTCAAATCTTGGAAGTACTTGGTTTTAGTCAGTACCTTCACTTCCTAACCCTTGGCTGACTGATTTCCTCCTTCTATAATCTAATGAGATTTATTTTTTTCTAGGATCACCAGCATCTTTTGGTTAGCAGCTGAGTGTGTTAATGGTTTACACTACTTAGGGACTCTTGTATTGTCTAGGTGATGTCTGATAGTCTTGATCAGAGGTCTTTACGGATTCTTGCACAGCCAATTTTCTACCTTAGACTGGTGTTTTGTGAATTCCTTTATCCAGTTGTGAAATTTGACAGGCTACTACACTTTTTTTTTTTTTTAAAGACCATTGGAAACCTTGAAATTCTGATCCTTTGAATTTTCATGATTATGGAAATCACCTGACCCAGTGGCTCCATAGTATTCTGACTTACCCTTCATGATCCCCTTTCATGCCTCTTCCCCTCCATCCAAACTGAAATTCTCACAGTTTCCACCACCTGCCTAAGCTTTCTTCATAGCATTTTCTAGAGGTATGTGTATCTGATGAATTGCAGAGTAAGAAGATAGTTGGCAAAAGTTTTGTTAACGAGAGCAGACCATAGAGCTAAGAGGAATGAGAAATGGTTGTTTGTTGTTAGGTGCTGTTGAGTTGGTTCTGACTCATAGCAACCCTGTATAGGGTTTCCTAGGAACGGCTGGTGGGTTTGAACTGTGTACCTTATATGGTTTGAAGTCCAGTGTGTTTATTCTACAGTGCCACACCAGGAGTCCTGAGAATTTACAGTGTAAATTTTAGGGGGCCTTGAGAACAAAGCTTTTGCTATTCATTGATTTCTTTTTCTGTCTGACTTCTAAATGTTATGTTCCCAGAACTCTTGTTTTTGTCTCCTCTTTTTTTGTCTATACTGTGATAGCATATAGGTGCCAGTTTTCATCAGGTGTCAGTGGTTACTTGATATCCTTTGAGCAGGATTCTTAGGCTTTGATGGCATTCACAAGAGAGTGCTGTGTTTGATTGCAATGGTTTTTGAGAATTCAATTTTACAAAATTGAATTGATGCACCTGAGATGACCAATTCTTGTACATCTCATCTGTAGATCATCTCCTTGGTTATTCCATGTATACCCAGGCTTTGGCTGCCTCCTGTATTGCTCACAGGTGTTTCTCCAGCCCAAGTCATATGTTTAAGCTTGGCGTTCTGTAACTAACTGCCTACGGGCTCCAACTAGAAATCTCTAACTCAGTGTGTTCACAATTGATCTTGTTGTCTTTTCATCTAAGCCTGCTTCTCCCTTCTGTATTTCCTATCAATGAATAATACCACCTCTACTCAATCAATTAAGACTTCTGGAAATTGTTCTAGACTTTTCCATTCGCCTTCATCGAAGCACTCTCCAAGTTGTGTAGATTCACATCTTTTGTCCCTACTTCTTTATCTCTGAAGTTTTTGGGTGGTGCAAATGGCTAATGCACTTGGTTAGTAATCAAAAGGTTAGATGTTGAAGTCCACTCAGAAGCACTGTAGAAAAAAGGACCAGTGGTGCCCTTCTGAAAAACCAGCCACTGAAAACTGGAGTACAATTCTATTCTGACACACCTGGGGCTGCTATGAGTCAGAGTCCACTTAATGGTAACTGGTTTTCTCTCCTAAAACCAAAACCCAAACCCACTGCCTTCAAGGGGATTCGGATTTATAGTGACCCTATATAGGGCTTCTGAGGCTATATATCATTATGGGAGCAGAAAGCCTCATCTGTCTCCCAATGAGTTGGCTAGTGGGTTTGAACTGCTGACATTGTGGTTAGCAGTCAAGTGCTTATCCTACAGTGTCACCATGGCTCTACTGACTTAAATTCAGCCCCACATCATTGATCCAAACAGGTCTCTCTGACTCCTTGTTGTATGCTCTAGTGTCCCATAGTGCTGCCTTTCCCAGATGCAACTCATTATACTACTTTCCTATTAAAGCCCCTTACTGGCACCTTGTGGTTTCAGGATAAAGTTTGAACTCCTTAGCTTAGCTTAGTGTTTGTTTAAAGTGCTTCCTGATCTGCTCCCTGTCTACCTTTTGTATCATCTTCTGTCACTTTCCCACATGTGTCTTTTGTTCCAACCATGATTTCTGAACAGCTAATTTCATGCCTCTGTGCCAATTTGTTTTCTTAGTCCTTTTGCTCCCTTATTGACATAGGATCTTATCTGTCAACATTTTATTTTTTTATAATTTGAACCTACAATAAAGGTGAAAGATTTTTCCAGTGAACACCGACACATTACTTACCACTTAAATCAAGGCTGTATAAGGCCCACAAAATCACTGGGTCTGGCCCTGCCAAGGCAACCATAGTTCTAGCCAGCACATTAGGGGTGAGTTAATTAAATGTTTGATCAAATATTGCAGGCTAATTTTAAAGTTGCTAATTTTATCTGGCCTACGAATGATGTTATAAATTTTGGCAGAAAAAAGGTTTATTTGAATCTTGGTGTGACACTGAAGGATAAGCTCTGGACTGCTCAAACCCATTGAAACGGATTTGATGGCAGTTAACAACACCACATACTTAGTTTATCATCTCTGTCTACCTTGTTATTCATCCTCTAATTTGTCTTATAGTTGGTACATTTTAAAGTAAATTGCAGAGATTAGCATTTTTTTGGTAAATGTTTTAGAATATAATCATTAACTAGAGTTCAGTATTTATTTACAGTTTTTTCTTTTGATGCATAATTTACATACAGTGATAATGCACAAGTGTGTCCATTTGTCTAGTTTGACAAATGCACACAACCTGTGTAGTCCAAACTTTATCAAATTATGTTGTTGTTAAGTGCCGTCGAGTCTGTTCTGACTTATAGTGACCCTGTATAGGGTTTCCAAGGAACGGTTGGTTGTTAAGTTTGAATCACCAATCTTGTGGTTCAAACCGACTTTGAGGTCGAAGGCTTATCCTATAGCGTCGTACCAGAACATTAATATAACTCGAGGAATTTCATTCTTGCCCCTTCCCAGTCAGTCACTGACCCCATCCCTCCACAGTTGTTTTTGTTTGTTTGTTCAAATTTCACTGAGGATTAGTTTTTCTGTTTTTAATTTATTTTTTTGTTTTTGGTTTTTCTGTTTTAACCGAGCAATTTTTTAATAAGCTAAGATTCAGTTTAAGGATCAACCTGGTTATATTTTATTGCTAAGCACAATGCTTGGCACAGTATTCAGCTAGTATGTAGAGTTAAATTGAATGAAGCTTGTAATATTTAAATTGATAGGTCAGGAATAATATTTCAGCTGCAAAATTTTGGACTTGTTTATCATTAATTCTTGGTTGGATGACCTCTGTGTGTATATTCCATGTTTTTGGCAAAATGAGATTAATGAGTCTTTTTCTTGAACCACCGACCTTGTGGTTCAAACCAACCTTGCAGTCCAGCACATTAACCTGCAGTGCCACATCAGGACTCTCTCTCTCTCTCTCTCTCTCTATATATATATATATATATACACCTAAAATAAATGATAACTCAGGCATACTTAGTGGATGATGGGAACTGTCTACATTTTCTAAATAAGTAACTGAAAAGGCATTAATTTATTTTGCTAGTGTTTTGAAGCCACTGTTTTCTGCTCTTTTCTCCGGTGCCCACATTCCTCTTTTATTCTGGCAGTACATTTGGCCTGGTAGATTCGGATGGACCTTGCTATGCAGTAATGGTGTATAACATGGTACAGAGCTGGGGAGTACTCATTGGCGACTCTGTGGCCATCCCTGAGCCCAACCTTCGGCTTCACCAAATTCAGCACAAGGAAAAGGTGAGTGATGGGTGGGATTTGTTCCCACTTGAAAAGCTCTGGAAGTATACCCGAGTTTGCTGCTTTTAAAAACTATAGGTAATATGTGTGTCTATGTATGATTTAGTTTATTTAGTTATACTAAAAAGATAAACTTGTTGTTACAGGTAAGGAAAAAGAAATAAGAAAATGGATGGAAACACTGACACTCAGATGTTAGCAGTTCTGTGCATATAGCCCCAGTCTTTTTCCATTTCATAAATATATGTGTATATGTGTTTTTCATATGTATATATGTTTTTCATATGTAAGATATGTATATCTTAGATGGTGAGTAGGATATTATATGTAAATGTTTGCAAACATTCTTCTGTGTTTTTACACATTCCATAACATTGTTTAGAATTGACATAAAATTGTGTCATTAGCGATGGTACTGGTGATGATGATGATGATAGTCAACATTTACAATACAATTAACTGAGTGTGAGGCACTGTGCTAAGACTTTACTACCTTCATTGTCTCATTTAATCCTCACAAAAATCTTATGAGGGTAGGTATTTGAGCACGTTTTCATCATCTAGACTAGGGATTGGTAAATTATGACCCATCAACCAGTCTGGCCCACCATTTGTTCTTTGTGGCATGTAAGCTAAGAATGTTTTTACATTTTTATATGATTAAAAAAACAGAATAATAAATTGCGACACATGAAAATTAAGTTCAAATTTCATTGGAACCTTTGTTAACTATATTGCCTGTGCCTACTTTTATATTTACAGTGATAGTTGAACTGTTCTGTGACAAAGACTATATGATTTGCAAAGCCTAAAACATTTACTTTTGGTCCTTTACAGAAAAAGTTCAATGTCCTCAGATCTAGATTATTTCCAATTTTGCCCTGTTATAAAAAGTACTGTGTAGTTGTTAGATGCCGTCAAGTTGGTTCTGACTCATCGGGTTTATGAACAACAGAACAAAACACTGCCCAGTCCTCTCCTATCCTCATAGTTGTTAGGATTGAGCCCGTTACTACTGCCACTGTGTCAGTCTATCTTGTTGGGGGTCTTCTTCTTTTTTGCTGACTCTCTGCCAAGTATGATGTCCTTCTCTAGGGATTGGTTTCTCCTGATGATTTGTCCAAAGTATGAGAGATGAAGTCTCACCATCCTAGTTTCAAAGGAGCATTCTAATATATTTTTTCCAACACAGATTTGTTTGTTCTTCTGGATGTCCATGGTACTTTTAATATTCTCCAACACCATAACTCAAATGCATCAGTTCTATGGTGTTTCCTATTAATTGTCCAACTTTCACAGACATGAGGTGATTGAAAATATGAGGTAATTGAGTTGGGTCATGAACACAATAAGTACTAAAGTAAACATTTTTGTCCATATCCATGATTATTTCCATAAATAAGATTTTAAATTAGAATTCTGGATCAAATATTCTGGATTAAAATAGTTATGAAGAATTTCAGGTCTTTTGATATATTGCCAGATTATTCTGTGGAACATTATAACATTTAGTTACTGCTACCAATAGTGGGTATGAATAATTGTTTCCCTGTAGTATTTTCAACTCTGAGTCAAAGAATTTGAAAAATTATGTGTTAATTTTATATGAAAAAACAAACCAAAACATTAACACTGATTGATATAATTTCTTGATTATGGTGAAATGCAACATTTTTTCATATTTTTATTGAGTGTGCTCCTTTTGTGCATGTCGCTATGAGTCGGGGTTGACTTGACAGTACTTAACAGCAACAACATACTCCTTTTATAAATTGATACTTTTTTTGGTTATTTGTCTCTATTCCTGCTAGGATTATTTTTAAACTCATTTATAAGAATTGTTTAGTTTTCATTCTTACTCTGAAGAGCCCTTTTACATCCCCAGTGGAACAATAGATTTTTTTTCAATTGATATCTTTTAGCAACATGCACTGCAACTTAAAATAAATTTGAATTGGTAAAGTGAACTTATACCTTTTCTATAATCAGGAAAATGTCTTTACCACTCATTCTGTTTTTTTTTTCTATTGATAATAATATTTTATATTTGATAGATTAATTTAGGGCCACACAAATACTGGAACTTTGAGTTTCTAAGAATTCCCACTATTCTGGCTGGCAGCTTTGTATAGCTAGTTAATTGTTGATACACACTGTGGAAAGGGCAGACTCTGTGAGGGCTGGAGGCATCTTTCTTTTTGAATCAGATAATTATTTCCTTCTCTGTTTCACACTACTGGTATCCAACCTGCCCCCAATTTTTCTTCTGAAGATTGCAAACTTTGAGAAAAGGAATAAAGGGTATATGAGGGTGCTTCAAAAAATTCATGGAAAATAGGAATGGAGATAATGGAATTTTTCCATGAACTTTTTTTTTTTTTTTCTTTTTAGATGCTTTCTTGTAAAGTGTATTGACAACTATTTGGTTCCAACACACAAAATAGCACTTGAAACATACCAAAATGTATTCTAACAAAGTAGACAGTAAAGAAAAAATAGCTCGTTTCCCAAGTCCAATCAATACAAAACAAACAATGCAAGATGAGAGAGGTGATTTGGGTGAGAATGATGTAAGAGAATTAAGACAATGGAATTCCTTTCCCTCTGGGCTAGAAGGTGTACTGGATTCACCTATTTTGCAGCAGAGACATTTAATCCGGTGCACCTTCCCTCCCACTCAAAAACAATGTCATTGTCTTAATTCTCATATAGCGCTTTGTCACATCACTTAAATTATTCTATGACCATTTGGAAGCCTGTGGGTTAGATGTTGGACTGCTAACTACAAGGTTGATGGTTTAAACCGACCAGCCACTCTGAGGGAGAAAGATGAGGCTGCTTGCTTTTATAAAGATTTATAGTCACGGGAACTCTATATAGGATTGCCTTAAGTTGGAATCAACTCTGATGGCAGTAGTTTTTTTGTTTTTGTTTTTAATTTGTATATCCTGGGTGGAAAAGGGAGGATGTTGTAGGTGGTATATTCCCATACTGGCATTTCTTCTGTCTTAGGATCTGTATTGAACCTGTGTGTCTTTCTTTTCTAGGACTATTCCTTTCCCAGTGTCCGTGTGGAGACGCCCCTCCTGCTGGTGGTGAATGGGAAGCTTCAGGGCTCCAGCAGCCAGGCTGCTGCCACAGTAGCCTCACGCCCACAGTGCGAATAACCTGACTCACAAGCTAAAGAGAGAGTGGAGATGAGACGATAAGCTCAGAGGACTTGGCGGCTGGACCAGCCACATGCAGTGACTCAACCACAGCATTGGGTTGAGCGTGTTTTAGATGAAGACTTTCCCTTCATCTGTTCTTAAGACACACTGTGTCCCTTCTTTGTCTCCTTGTCATCAGGCTCGAACTCCCCCCAGGGCTGCATACTCCCCTGATGTGTCTCTCCTGCCTCCTGCACTGCTCTCTCTGTTTCAGGCAAAGAGCATTGAATTGGTAGAAGTGTTGGGATCGTGCTGTGGGACAGAGTCCCCAAGGTTCCTGTTTCTTGCCTCCTTCCTGAGCCTCATGTGTATATATCAGTTCAGTATTTATTGCTAAGGGAGGGGGTTTAATTTTTTAATGGCTTGGTTTTTGAATAATTTTTATTTTTAAAATTTAGGTTCTTTCCCTCTTTGGGGCTGGAACAGAATTAAAATGCATTTGGAAAACAAGCAAACACTGTCGTTAGCCTGCTTCATTCTCTCCAGGCTTGCATTCTTGGTTTTAGGATTGCTTAAATCTATAAGAGCAATACCTTCTTTTTTCTTTTATACAAAATGGTTTATTTCTCTCTCAGTTAAAAGAATTCTGGCTATAGACAGCCTAGGGTGGGTATAGCTGCCTCATAAAGTTGCTACAAACCAGTTTATAGTATTGTTATAAACGCTATACAGGGTCTCTTGAGTGATCTGCCTCATTATGGTCCCAGATGACAGAGCTGTACTAGTCTAGTAGCATTACCAGACTGAAAGACCAGAGAAGGCTACATATTTGTTTCTTTAGATCCTAGTGATATGTTTGACAATAGTTTCTTTTAATATCCTTGGGGAAATGTGATGGAGAATTAATAAAGAATTGAATGAGTATATCCAGAAAGTACATTAATGCTGGGTTAATTTGGAAGTCTAGTTATATGGCTCAGATCTTTGTTGTTGGTTCAGTCCTGAACAGTTAATCAGTGACTTGAATACCATTGATAACTCATGATCATAAAACTCAGAACACCTCACAGGTTGGATGATAGAATAAGGGTCTGTTTATCTAAAGAAGCTGATAGAGCTGTGTCTAACAGGACACAATTTTGAAGTCCATTGTTTTGGTCCAGAAAATTAACTTTCTATATATTCAATATCCTGTATGAAATGTGCTAGGAATCAGTAGATCAAAATAAGGTTAGTGTAAGTAACAAGTATGATATCGTTGTAAAAACATTCTTTTTTGACAGCACCAATGATCATCTGGTAGCCAGAGAGAGAGGTTTTGCTACGGTGTCTTCAGACACTGCATTCAGTTTTGGGTATATTTTAAGATTCATAGTCATAGAAGAGTACTCATGACTTGAGGTGTCCCGTAAAAATATCTCGTGGCTATGAGAACTGTAGAGGAAGGGGATATATGAGTGTTAGAGATAATGAAGAAACAAGAGATCCAGCAACTGTTCCCCTTTTATTCAACTTTTGAGATATTTTGACATGTTTTATGTAGGACCAGAGAGCAGAAAAATGACCACTGCGTAGAAACTAGAGAGAAGCAGAACTTAATACATTTTATGGTGAAGTATATATCTTCAGTAAAGTATGCAAAATATGTATGTACAGTTAAAAGAATACAAGGACCCATGAAATGCCCATTCAACTTAAAGCCTAGCATATCATCAATACTTTAGAAGCCCTTGCTTGCCTTTCATGATCTTGTTTTCATGGCCTGATTATGTTACATTTTATATATCCTACTGATAAAAGATATTTGTGGTTATTTTCAGATTTTTTTTTTTTTTTTACTGTCAAGATAACCCAAAACTTAACAAAACCCGATGATGCTCAGTCAATTCTGACTCATGGTGATCCCATGTGTTACAGAATAGGATTGTTATGTAAGGTTTCTTGGTTGTAATATTTAGCAAAGTAAATCACCAGCCCTTTCACAGTATTAAGGCAGGCTGCTATACTGCCAACCTTTAGGTTAGTAATCAATTGCAAGCCATTTGTGTCACCCTGGGACCTTGATATCAAGGTAGTACATTACTAATATTCTTATGTGGTGCTGTGGGTTAATGCGCCAGACTGCAAAGCCGTTTGAACTGCAAGGTTGGCGGTTCAAGCTCACTAGCTGCTCCTCAGAAACCCTATACAGGGTCGCTATGGGTCAGAATCGACTTGATAGCACTTAACAACAACAACGTATATGTCTGTGATGTACAAGCATAATGTTTTCTTTTATAACAGTGGATCTCAAAGACATCCCCAGACCAATAGCATTAACATTACCTAGAGCATCTTAGAAATGTAAATTCTTAGGTTCCATTCCAAACTTGGAGTCCTGGTGTGGTGCTGTAGGATAAGCTGTAGGCCACAAGGTCGGTTTGAACCACAAGGTCTGCAGTTCAAGCCCACCAGCAGCTCCTTGGAAACCCTATCGGGTCACTGAGTTGGAACCTACTAGATGGTACTTACTGACAATCTAAACTTTCTGATTGAGAAACTCTGGTAGAGGAGCCCAGAAATTGGTCCCAACAAGGCTTCCAGGTGTATCTGACACACACTAGTCTTAAAACCATTGCTTCAAAGTGTGACTAAAGAATGGAATTGCTGGGTAGTAGAAAATATACAGGTGTCTTGGTGTGGGACTGTAGGAAGCTCTGGACTACCTACTGAAAGGTTGGTGGTTCAGACCCACCAACGGCTCCTTGGAAACTATCCAGGGTTTCTATGAATCGGACCCAACTCAATAGCACTTATAATAAGACTATCCAGCATCCTGGAGTGGCACTGTAAAATACGCACTGAACTAACCACAAGGCTGGTGTTCAAACCCACCAGCAGCTTCTATATGGGGTCATTATGAGTTGTAACCAACTCAACGGCACTTAACAACAAAAGTATGTACATGCTTAACTTTTGAAAAGTACCAAACATTCCCACTTTATGCCTGGGTTGTTGTTGTTAAGTGCTGTCAAGTCGATTCCGACTCATACTGAGCCTGTATAGGGTTTCCAAGGAGCAGTTGGTGAGGTTGTACCACCGACCTTGCAGTTCAAAGGGCTTTGCAGTCTGGTGCATTAACCCACAGCGCCACACCAGGATTCTTCCTAATGTTCCCATCTTCTAAGTGCTTTGTACTTAAAATATATTTTTGGCCAAAGTGTTCACAGCAAAACAAGTTCCCGTTCAACAGTTTTTACACACATTCAGTGATACTGGTTATGTTCACATTGTGCAACATTCTTATTTCTATTTCAGCTGTTTCCAATAACCTAGTCTCTCTGCTCCCCAACTTTCTCATCTATACTTTATAGTAGTTGTTGACCATTTGGTCCAAGATACATATATAATTTCTAAAGGAGCACGGTACTCAATGGTACTCAATGTTTCATTTTGTGAGCTTGTTTGCTATTTAGCTAAGTGGTGACTTCAGGGGATA